TGCGCCTGACTCCGTCCAAATCACCCGCTACAGAATCATACACCCAACAGCACGGAGTCAGCAGGAGAGGGGAATATGCCTGGACTCTTTGAGCGGGTCCGGGAGCATTCCAACATGTTAGCCAGCTTGGGCGAAGCGATGGATCGGGTTCTCCAGGACGTCCAGCGCCTGGAGAGGAGAGGACCCGACCCTGCGGAACCAGCTGAGCGACCGGATCCAGCCCCCCACACACCAGCACCCAGAGGTATTCACCTGTCTCGACTGAGGGAATACGACGGGACAGCGGCCCGCTGCCAGGGTTTCCTCCTGCAACTGGACCACTATTTCAACACCATCAGCCCTGCTCCATCGGATCGGGAGAAGGTGTCCACCCTCGTCTCCTGCCTCTCTGGGAAAGCCCTGGAGTGGGCCAACACGGTCTGGAGTGAAGGAGGAAACGCGTTGGACAACTACAGAGAGTTCGCTCACCTCTTCCGGGCAGTATTCGATCATCCCCCTGAAGGAAGAGAGGCGGGCAAGCGTCTGGTCCATCTGAGGCAGGGAGTTTAGAACTCTAGTGGCTGGGTCCGGGTGGAATGAGCAGGGCCCTCATCGACCACTACCGATGCAGCCTGCGTGATGACGTCCGAAGGGAGCTAGCCTGCCGGGATACCACGTTGACCTTCAACCAACTGGTGGACATGGCCATCCGGTTGGACAACCAGCTGGCTTCAAGAGGACGTCCTGGAAGGGGCCTGCTCGTTTCACCCACCTTCAACCCGGATCACGTTCCGATGGTGCTGGGTGGTGCAGCGTTCCGGGAGAACGGAGGACGAACAGATCCAGTGTCACTCTTGTGGCAAGAGAGGACATTCTGCTGCACGATGTCGTCAGAGTTCTTCTGGTTCTGGAGGCGTCAGGCAGGGCACTCTCGCATCACCCCAGGTAGCGCAAACCCACACTTGTTCAGAGCCCTCTGCTGCGCATTTCACCATCCACGTCAACTTCCCTGATTACACGGTAGTTCCCCAGTGTAAGGCGCTGGTAGATTCACGCACAGCTGGGAACTTTATGGACAGGTCGTTAGCTAATAGTCTATGATTTCCATTGGTTTCCCTGTCTATTCCATTTCCCATCAAAGCACTTGACAATCAACCATTAGGGTCAGGTTTTGTTAGGGAGGTTACAGCACCAGTCACTATGATTATGCAGGAGATCCATAATGAGCAAATCACATTTGACATTGTTTCCGTTGGTGCGACCAAGGTGGAAAGTCCAGACAATACCTCCTCCGTGCGCATTCCCCCCGAATACCTCGATTTGGCGCACACGTTTTCCAAAACGCAGGTGACCAAATTACCACCCCATCGGGCGGGGGTATTGCGCGATAAACCTACGGTTAGATGCTGTGCCGCCCTGGATTCATGTATATCCCCTGTCGCAGGCTGAAACTAAGGCTGTGGAAACACACGTCTCTGAGTCCCTGCGTCAGGGGTTCATACGTCCCTCCACTTCATCCGCCTCCTCGAGTTTCTTTTTCGTGAAGAAGAAATACGGGGTTCTGTGCCCTTGCATTGATTACTGTGCACTTAATAAAACTACCATTCGCTATAGTTATCCTCTACCCCTCATTTCCTCTGTGATTGAATCAATGCATGGGGCGCGCTTCTTCACGAAATTAGATCTCAGGAGTGCATACAACCTGGTGCGTGTCCGGGAAGGGGACGAGTGGTAGACAGCATTTAGCACAACCACGGGGCACTATGAATACCTGGTGATGCCTTTCGGGTTGATGAATGCTCCATCAGTCTTCCAGTCCTTTGTGAACGAGGTGTTTCGGGACATGCTTGGTTGCGATGTGGTGGTCTACATCGATGACATCCTGGTGTATTCTGCTACGCGCGCTGAGCATGTGTCCCTGGTTCGCAGAGTGCTGGGCCGACTGTTGGAGCATGACCTGTTTGCCAAGGCAGAAAAGTGTCTGTTCTTCCAACAATCCGTCTCCTTCCTCGGATACCACCTCACCACCTCAGGTGTGGAGATGAAGGGAGACCGCATTTCAGCCGTGCGTAATTGGCCGACTCCAACCATGGTAAAGGAGGTGCAGCGCTTCATTGGCATTGCCAATTACTGTCTGAGGTTTATCTGGGGCTTGGGCAAGGTCGCAGCTCCTATCACCTCTCTGTTGAAGGGTGGGCCGTCCCGGCTCCGCTGGTCTGCTGAGGCTGACAGGGCTTTCAGTAACCTGAGGGCTCTGTTCACCTCAGCCCCGGTACTGGCCCATCCCGATCCATCATTGCCGTTCGTAGTGGAGGTGGATGCGTCCGAGGTAGGGGTATGCGATGTTAGTGATCGGGAGCTGTTGGCTGTTGTCAGAGCCCTGACAGCATGGAGGCACTGGCTCGAGGGGGCGAAACTCCCTTTCCTCTTCTGGACTGACCACCGTAACCTGGAGTACATCCGGTTTGATGGAGTACACCCGGTTTGATTTGACGCTGTCCTATATACCACACACTATGAACATGAAGACAGATGCACTGTCACGGCTGCAAGACACAGAGGAGAGGCTCATTGACAACACCCCTATACTCCCGGCCTCCTGCATTTTGGCGCCGGTGGTGTGGGCGGTGGACGCAGCCAGAGTTAGGCACCATTGCCGTTGTGGAACTGGTAAGGGATCCCTTACCCGATGGAAGGTGCCTAACCTTCCATCGGGTAAGTTACATCCCTTACCAGTTCCACAACGGCAATGGTCCCACTTATACATTGATTTCCTAACTGATCTTCCCCTCTCTCAGGGTAACACCACCATCCTGGTCGTAGTGGACCGCTTCTCTAAAGCCTGCCGCCTCCTTCCTCTGCCCGGTCTCCCCACGGCCCTGCAAACTGCGGAAGCCCTGTTTACTCACGTCTTCCGGCACTATGGTTGTGCCAGAGGACATAGTGTCTGACCGGGGTCCCCAGTTTACGTCCAGGGTCTGGAAGGCGTTCACGGAACGTCTGGAGGTCTCGGTCAGCCTGACCTTTGGGTTTCACCCAGAATCTAATGGACTGGTGGAACAGGTGAATCAGGATGTGGGTAGGTTCCTGCAGTCCTACTGCCAGGACCGGCCGGGGGGATGGTCGGTGTTCGTGACATGGGCCGTTTATGCCCAGAACTCTCTCCGCCACTCCTCCACTAACCTGTCACCATTTCAATGTGTTTTAGGGTATCAGCCGGTCCTGGCACCGTGGCATCAGAGCCAGACCGAAGCTCCTGCGGTGGACGACTGGTTTCGGCGCGCAGAGGAGACGTGGAACTCTGCCCACGTCCAACTCCAGTGCACAGTGCGTCACCAGAAGGCCAAAACGCTGACCGCCACCGCAGTGAGGCCCCGGTCTTTGTACCGGGTGATCGGAACCTGCCCCTCCGCATGCCCTGCTGGATGTTGAGTCCGCGGTTTGTGGGGCCGTTCAAAGTCCTGAGGAGAGTTAACGATGTTATGTATAGGTTGCTGCTCCCTCCTGATTACCGTATTAACCCCTCGTTTCATGTATTTCTCCTCAGGCCGGTGGTGGCTGGTCCGCTCCAGGAGTTTGAAGTGCGGGAGGTCCCTCCGCCCCCTCTGGACATCGAGGGGGCCCCGTCGTACTCCGTCCGTTCCATCCTTGATTTGAGGCGTCGGGTGGGGGGCCTTCAGTACCTCGTGGAGTGGGAAGGGTACGGTCCTGAGGAGTGGTGCTGGGTCCCGGTGAAGGATGTCCTTGATCCCTTCACCTTCGCCATCCATTATTCTGTGATTTACAGCTCCTGCGCCTCCGTCCAAATCACCCGCTACACGTGCACTAATGTGATTAGCATGACTGTTGTAAGTAACAGCAAACTTTCCAGGACATAGACATGTCTTAAATGGGCAGAAAGCTTAAATTCTTGTTAATCTAACGGCACTGTCCAATTTACAGTAGCTATTACAGTAAAAAAAATACCATGCTATTGTTTGAGGAGAGTGCACAACAACAAAATACTTATCACCGTAACTGAAGGTAAATGATGTACTTACATTCAATAATCTTGCTCTGAATTGTCATCCTAAGGGTCCCAGAGATAAAATGTAGCATAGTTCTGTTTGATAAAATCCATTTTTATATTCAAATGTTGGAACTGGGTTCTACAGTTTGAACCCCTGCTGTGTCTGGCTCCACACCCACCCCGCCCAGCCATCTAGATGTGTGAAAGTTAGTGTATAAGCTAATGATCCATCATGTATGACATTCCTGGGAGTGTGTAAACTTACATTTTGTATTACCATATAATTTTGTATGTTCTCTATAGTTATATCAAGATATATTAATTGACCAATTCAGCACTTTTGGGCAAATAGAAAACACATATCTTATCTTTTACCAGATCTAATGTGCTATATTCTCCTACATTAATTTCACATTTCCACAAACTTCAACGTGTTTCCTTTCAAATGGTATCAAGAATATGCATATCCTTGCTTCAGGTCCTGAGCTACAGGCAGTGAGATTTGGGTATGTCATTTTAGGCGAAAATTTAAAAAAAGGGTCCGATCCTTAAGAGGTTAACCCTTTCCTTTCCAACACAAACTGAAGAGATTAAAACAGAATATCATTGAAAATAAGAATATCATCAGAATATCATCGAAATGTTATTGAAATGATTGAATAGAAATTAAAACAACGTTTATATTTTAAAAATACAACAATTATTTTATAAATCCTTGGGCCTTCATTGACTGTATTTTAATCAAACATATTCCAACTTTAGACAAAACTGGCTATATTGAACATTCCTCTGGCCCCTTCTCCAGTCTGTTATGCTTACAGCCATTGGGCATACTCTTTACACTGATGCATGACCTGATTATTAAGTTCTCACATATACATTCACATACACACACACAAACTCACTCACTCATGCACACATACAAAAGAGGAGGTAGAAGCATCTCCAGTCAGATTTTGTCCAGTCAGACGAAGCCCGGTGGTAGTTTGTGCTTGGGGATGGGGTGAGCAAGCCAGCGCTCGATGGAGTTTTCTCCAATGCTGAGGCAGCCAAAAAAACAACCAGTACACACACACAAAGAGCCCCAATCCACCAACCTAAACCAGGCCACTGTCACAATGACAACACAAACACCACAGGGGAACAATAAGCCCCTCTGCTTTCCAGAAGCCCAGGCCACAATAAAGAGCCATGCGCCCAGGGACTCTGGCTGTTTGACACAACAGACCACCGAACAGATTCTCAAGCCACTCAATGATGTCTATGCATGGTGACTAGCCTTCTTCTGACACACCCACACACACGCTCCCGCATTCTCTCTTCTCATACCCGCATTCTCCAAGAACAAGGGACATGCCTCTGCCAAGACGTCGATCCTCCTTCTTGGGCCAGCCCACCGCTGCAGAGCGCCCGGGTAGCGCCAGCACCAGGGCTGGCACCGCGGGCATCACCACAGCCCCCCGGGGCGTCTTTGTGGGGACAGCCCCCACGAGCAGCGCGTCCAGCCTGGGTACGCGCGTGTCGCGGCGCGCCCTGGGCATCAGCAGTGTGTTCCTGCAGGGGCTGAGGAGCACGGCCGCGCCTGTGATGCCCCGCGGGGCCGGGGCTGGTGGCAGGCAGCACCCCGGGGGTGCTGAGAGCCTTAACGCCTGCCTGATGGAGTACAGGGACAAGGTGCGTGCCCTGGAGCTTCTCAACCAGCAGCTGGAGGAGCAGATCAGACAATGCCTGGATCGTAAGGCGTCCAGCGCCGGAGCCTGGGGTCCCCTCAGACAGGACTGGGAGGATGTCTACAGACAGGTAAGGAAGGGGGGAGAAGGAGGGAGTGGAGGATGATGGGTAGAAAGGTTACAGATAGGTAAGGGGGAGAAAGGTAGAGCAGGGAGGAGAGGGGTAGAGAAGGACTAGGAGGACATCTACAGACAGTTAAGGAAGGAAGAGGGAGAGAGAGAGGGAGTTGAGTATGATGGGTACAGACTGGTAAGAAGGGAAAGAGAAAGGGATAAGAGAAGGGAAGATAGAACGGGAGGAGAGGGGTAGAGAAGGACTGGGAAGACACATATGGACAGGTAAAGAAGAGAGGGAGTCCTAGAATGAAGTTAAGAAAGCTCCTGCTGATCCGGCAGTGCAGCATTTTACTGTTCTGTGCCTCCGACCTGATGGGAGTAGGTTGAAGCACTGATTGAGTGGGTGGTCGGAGCTGGAGATTGTGGCGGGATTTGCGCTGGATAGTGTGTTCATTTAAAAGTGACAGTTTTGGAATGGGGAGTCTAACTTTGATGCAGTGTTTATGATCCTCAATTGTTTATTGCACTGTGAGGCTGTTAGCATATTTTGTCTTTTTATTTACCTTTATTTAACCAATGGAAACCCATTGACACCAGCGTCTCATTTTATAAGGGTGCCCTGGGAACAATACATCAACATGATCAGCCTCAATAAAACACTATAAATGTACAATGACACATTACAACAAATCAAATTCAAAAGTGACAGATACAATTATACATCAATCAAAACATAAATCAAAACAAGTGCAATTCTCCTTCACCACATTCCTCATCAAAGTCCCGCACTGACTCTTCAAGACCAGAGAGTCAAGCCTCAAAGTGGCCTGCAGTTCATTCCATGCACTAGGGTCACAATAACTAAAAGCAATCTTCCCGGACACTGTGGAGACCCACTGTACCTCTAGAGCCAGTTAAGAAATGATGTTGAAGTATTGCAGTCTTCCATAGATGAGGTGGAATGCACTATGATGCCATTATAATGCACTCTAAGACTTGGCACAGGCATGCATGGCCCCCCTTGTAATCAGTGATGTAGTGAGTAAACAAAACAGGTAGGTAAACGCTGACCACCTTTCGTGGTTTATAAAGTAACGCGGTTTTCATATAGGGAGTCTGGTCTTATTATCATCTGATAATGAGCCTGACTTAATAACAGCTATTTTGAGTCCGTTGAAAATGACCTGCATAGAGAGACTTAACATACCATAAGCCTTATAATTAGACATTGTAAAGGCGCACACATGCTTATAACAAGTAATAGAGCATTATACCTGTATGTAGAATACCCATTTATCGAAAAATTCACCCTACGTTGGACTCAGAACATCTGTTGCACCCTACTGGACAGACTGACATATTGCAAGATCTCCCACACAGGTTAGTGAGTCCATCCTTGACAATGCCAGGCTAATGCTACAGACAGAGAATGTGCAGGCCAACGCTGAGGACTTCAAGGACCGGTGAGCATACACTCTCCTCGCATCCTCTCCCCTCACATCCTCTCTCCTCACCTCCTTCCCAAAATGTCAGAACCTGGGGAATCGAGGAGAGCATGGAGAAGAACACCTTGATTTTTGAGATTCACTTTCTCTCTGTCCTGTAGGTATGAGAATGAGCAGCCCTTCAGGAAAGTGGTGGAGGAGGAGATTAGCTCTCTGTACAAGGTGATTGACAACGCCAACCTGACCAAGTCAGACCTGGAGAGCCAGATGGACAGCATGAGGGCTGAGCTCCGAGACCTGGCCCGCAACCACGAGGAGGTGGGTCAAGCATGAAGGAATGGAGCACATAATGGGGTTTTTAGTGTGAGATATTAGAGAAAGGGATATTCCCATCAAAATACAATCTAACATTACTTTTCCCACTTAGTTCAATCCCCAAGACAGTTATTGGGTATTCATTTAGTTTACTTACCCAGCATAGAAATAAATGGAGCACATATGAACCCTAACTGCTAGCATTTCCATAGGATTCCTTTCTTGTGGGGTTTTAAGTTTTAAGACAAAATGTCCACTGACAATCATTTACCTCCAACCCAGTGAAAGCCCACACCTCATCCAGCTAGTTGTTATTTAAAATCAGATGATTAAGATCAAATTGATTCTATGAATCCGGTGTATTACTGTTTTCCCATGTGTTCTGCTGCCCCCTTCAGGACGTGAGGGTGCTCTACAACCAGATGGCAGGCCATGAGGTGGACGAGCCGGACGCTCCCATTGAGACCAATCTGGACCAGATACTGGCCTACATCCGCTCCCACTGGGAAAGAGTCATCGAGAAGAACCGTGCCGAGACCGATGCCTACCTGGAATTCAAGGTAAGTTCATACTGTGGTTCCCCATGCATACAACCTTTAACACCTGAATAAACAGGGGAGAAATCAACTATTTACTTTTGATAAATGTGTAGTGGACATTAGTTGTTTATCTATTCCATGGGGTCAGCTTGAGGTTTATTGTGTCTACTAGGGGCCAGTCAAAACAAACGGAATACACCTGCCCTTTGACATAGCTTGACGGCTGTACATTTGTGTGGTGTGTGTGTGTGTGTGGTGTGTGTGGGTGGGTGCGTGCGTGCGTGCGTGTGTGCATGAGTTCAGCAGGCGGAGAGTGTGGGCTGTAAGCTGAGTCGTGAGGAGGAGGAGCTGGAGAGTCTGAAGACGGAGTGTAATGACGCTGGCTGTAAGATCCAGAGTCTGCAGGCCGAAACAGAGTCCATCAGAGCACTGGTACGAATTGTGCTGCCACCTCGACAGTGTCCCTATATAGGGCAACGTTTCTGGGGACAGCTCCACCACCAATAGTGTGTATGTCAGTGGAGGCTGGTGGAGGTAGAAATAGGAAGGACGGGCTAATTGGAATGGTTGGAATGGAACAAATGAAACACAGAGTGTGTGTGTGTGTTTTGGAGGTGTCAACTGCATCAACTGTGTCAACTTGCTCCAACAGAAGCGCGGTCTGGAGAACTCCCTGAACGACGCCAAGCATTGGCATGACATTGAGCTGCAGAACCTGGGATCCGTCATTGGCAAGCTGGAGTCGGAGCTGGGCGACGTCCGCGGCGACATTGAACAGCAACGCTGTGACTATGAGACGTTGCTAGGCAACAAAATGCGCCTGGAGCTGGAGATCGGCACCTACCACGGCATCTTGGATGGGGAGGAGAGCCGCTACCACCCCTCAATGTGAGTAGCTAACTTCAGAGGTAACCTTCGAGGCAAAGTCAATTTCAAAAAAATAAGATTAATAGCCCAGCAGGACAAAATACCATTAGCACATGACTTCTTAATTATATAATTTTTATAATTTTTATAATAATATTATAGCAACAGTGCTTGACTTGGTCTGAAATTGGTTCCGGACCTCATTTTGGGAGCCGGTGCTGTTTCATATTTAGGTGCAGGAGCTCCACAATACTTTTGAGTTAATATTCTATAAGAGGAACAGGAGCTCAAGCAGTAGAACATTTTAGGTGCCGGTACTCAGCTCTGGTGAAATCCTGCTCAAGTCAAGCACTGGATATCAAGGTGAACTCCACGCAATATATTCCAATGGGTGAGATTTCATGACCTCCTTTGACACGGTGTTCCTCTCAACAGGTGCACAGGTGCATCAGAGCCTGAGGGGAGACAAACTCCCCTTCCTCCCCATTCAGAGCCCTGCGGCAGCTCAGCACCCCAAGGTAAAGTCTACTAGGAGGAGCAAAGCACTCTTCATGATATTAAAATGGCTCTATTGTGGTGGCAAGTTCAATAGAACAATATCTTAAAAACTCAGACTTTTTTCTGAATGTGAAGCATTCATCAGGGAGAACAGCCTGATTGTTTAGAATATTGACATATACAGGTAACTGCCAAAATAAAGAATGGTGTCGAATCCCTGCTATAAGAGTTCGGGGCAGCACTTGGAGACTCTATGCCAGGGTACATTGAAGCTGTTCTGGTGCCTGGGCGGGGTGTCGAATCCCTGCTATAGAGTTCCAGACACTTGGAGACTCTATGCCAGGGTACATTGAAGCTGTCCTGGTGGCTCTGGCGGCTCGTGGTGGCCCAACGCCCTATTAAAACACTTTATTTTGATGTTTCCTTTATTTTGGCAGTTACCTGTATATCTCTTCCTAAAGCATATCCACGTACAGATCACAATGATCTTGATTTCCGCAAACATTTCACACACCTCCATGTGTAAACTGACTGGCGTGTGAGCGATGTGGACGTTGTTCCCTGTTTCTGGGAGCATCTTCCAAGTGCTAGTCACCCTTGTAGAAACCAATAGGGGTAAGACGTTGTTGTTAGGTTGTTTGTAATTATGGCGGACCAGGAGTGACAAACTCTTTTTAAAAAATGTATAAATTAATAATGAAAATGTATTCAAATCAATGTATATATTTCCTCATCAGTTTTCAAATGTTTTATTTGTTTATTAATTTAGAAGTGCATTATTAATGCATTAATAGTCAATTACTTTTATAATTTAATCATTGGTTTATGTTCACATTTATTTATTTATTTATTTTCTTGTCACTCCTGGTCCTCCATACTAGTATGAAAAAATGTATGCACTCACTAACTGTAAGTCGCTCTGGATAAGAGCGTCTGCTAAATGACTAAAATGTAAATGTATTAGCTTGTTGGTTCATTGGGGACAGAAATCATTTCTGCAAGTGCAGACACAAATTCTCACCTTTCTTCATACTATTTCAAAACAATATATCTTTAATATACATTGTTCAAGTCCTTTATACTTGATTTGATTCATTAGGATCTGCATTAGCCAACTCCAATGGCGACAGCTAGTCTTACTGGGGTCTGACACTATTCCGGTATAATGAACTACTTATTATGTATTTTTTGTCTTATCAGGCTCCAACACATCTAGTCACTAGTGGAAAGACTGAGAACCATTTGGGGACATGGCTACTTCTTAATGATGGAGCTCAAGTTATGATTGGGTTTGGAATAACACCAATGAACATGAAGCTCTCACACCGTTGATCTCCAAGGTATCTGTGCAAAGTTTCCTTCAGAGACCATGTTCTTACTAAAGAGTTTAATAAAATCAAAACCTCTGCAAGAAAGTATCGGGTCCTCTTTTTTCAACTAAGCCTCTTTATTCAAATAGATTGGGGTTAGATTGGAATTTTCCTTTTGGGGACACTACTTTCAATAATGGCACATAAGACTACTTTGTTGATATATTAACAAAGTCTATACAAGTGGTGGGTCTAATCCTGGATTCTGATTGGTTAAAACTGCTACTTGGCCTCAACTTCAATTAAATGTAATAATGATTGAGTAAGGTGTTGGTCGTTCTCATCTCAAGAAGTTAGCCAATATAGTTTTGGAGTTGTGGCATGGTTTCAATGACTCATTTTTTAAATACCACTTGTGCCCACCCAGCCTATGACCACACTGAAACTTGTGCTCAACATGACGTGAAACAATCGTGAGCACAGCATTCAGTCTGGTTTAACCAGGCTACGACTCAGCATGTGTAGAGCTCTAAATTGAAGTCATTGATAATGACATGCCTAAATTATAGTTATTGCCCTTATGAGTCAAAATGAGGATGGGGGAAAGGACATTTTAACAGGCGCTCCCACAAGACACAGCCAGCGTTCATCCATACAATACACGACACAGCACGATTCATATGAAACAGTGTCATTCGTTTATCTTAGAAAACACAGAGTTCAACACATAGTTCAACCAAACAGCGTCTCCTCAATATAAATTCTCGAATGTGGAAAAAAAGGGGGAGCAGTGATGATATTTACTTTGAGGATAGTTCCTCTGTTTAGTAGTTTATTCTTGTTCTTTGGAGTGGAGTTTCTGGTGATTCCGCGTTTGTTGATTTGTCCTATGGAAGGGTGAAACCAGCTCCTGCAAGGTGAGTCGAGGCGGTTGTATAAAGCATTAATAAACAGCTCACCTTAAGTTACATTTCAATACACTACATGTAGTCCTACTGATCTGAGTAAATAAGGACTTTATGGGCTGTGAAATGATGGCTCTCACCTCACTGGCGTGATGATCATGTTGTAGTGGGGTCCCCTATGACAGAGTAGCAGCCAGAGCAGGAGTGGGAGGGTTTCTTGAAGGAGTCATCGGTCCCCCTTCTCCTGCGCAACTGGCTCGTGCTGATGTGTTGCGTTTTCTCAATCTGCGGAGGACAATGAGCCAACACTTACTGTTAACTATACCTATAGGTATAATTCAGAAGTTTGAAAATCAAGAAAATAAGAAAATCATCAAATTTGATTATGATCAGGTATGTTTGCTTTTTTGTTATTTTTGTTGTTGTTGGAGGGACATGCATTCAAAGGAACTTTGTGCTTTTAACCCTTTGATGATTATGATTGACTGTGAAATAATCTCTATAGCTAGTGCCCCTACACGTAAATCAAAGGTCTTACATATGCTACCATCCTATTCCAAAGCAAAAAATATATAAATGCTGCAATGAATGTCCCACGTTAAAAAAGTTCTGCTCACCAATGTTAGTCTACTCATCAAAAGCAATCACAAAAAACAATGTTACTCCTCAAAAACTTTTAAAGATAGTGAATAAGTAATCATATAAAAAGCTTACCAAAAGAGATAGGAGGATGATTTCACCACTTGTTTCTATGGGCACAGATTGTATTGTAATTATTGCAATGGTGAAAATGACCAATGCCAATGATACCCGCTGCATTTTGTCTCTTCTGTCAAAGCCTGTGGCGGAGGGAGTCTGCTGTATTCAAGACAGCATTGACTCTAAATAGGCATGTCTGTTACAGCTGGGTGGGACCTGTTCGAAGCCCTTCCCTTTTTGTGACCAATGAAGCAATATCGTGATGTGGTTGTTTAAAGGTAGAAGACCATGGACCATGGATAACCACTATGTTAAAAAGTGAAAACTTCCTTGAATCTATGTTTAACATATTAATACCAATATTTTATCACAAATCAAAATATGCAACGTATGACCTTGCTTCTAGATAGGAAGTGTATATTTGACCGTCAGAATGAAAACTTAAAGGCTCAATCTGCAGTTCAAACAAGTGATCACCCTCATCCAGCCTGTACCCACTCTCAAATTCATAGACAGAGCTATGGATGCAAGGACTGACCATCCATGAGATAAAAAGTATAGTTTTAACCATGTTTTGAGGACATATCCTACACTGTTTGTTTATAAATACATTGTTTACAAACAATGGAGTAAAACAAGCTTATATTATGGGTTCTGATGGGGTATTACATTTGAGCTAGGTTCATGAGACAATAATAAGTTATATTCTTCAAGAATCAATGGTAACATTAATTTAAAAGTCAAAAAATGGGTGCACCAATGGCAGATTGCGACTAAGTTTAGGCATAGGGCTCGAAATTAATTAAGGTTAGGGTTGAGGTCAGGTTTAGGAACAAGAGTTAGGTATAGTTTTAGTGAGGTTAGGGTTAGGGTTAATATAGCCTCTACAAATCCCAGTGTGTACAGGTCCACTCTTGTCTCTAACATTTAGAAAAAAAACATTCCAAACAGTCCCTTCACAAGTCAGAATGTTGAATAAACTTCATTTGAACTTACTCTACCTGTTGTCTATTGATTTCCTTCTGCTAGTGGAAATTTGAGACAAAATATCCACCGGAAAGTATAACTAAACCGACTTCAAAACGCAGGTCTCTGTGTGTGGTTATCACGATTTGTTTGCTCATTATCCAAGGCATGTGTACAAGACGGAAGTACATGCATACTAACCGAAGTCTTGCAGGTGTTAACATGGTTTAATTTGCGCATGTGCCAGGTGATAGAAATGTAAATGGTAGAAATCTTTTATATATATATATATATATATAAAAACTCAGCAAAAAAAGAAACGTCCTCTCACTGTCAACTGCGTTTATTTTCAGCAAACTTAACGTGTGTAAATATTTGTATGAACATAACAAGATTCAACAACTGAGACATAAACTGAACAAGTTCCACAGACGTGACTAACAGAAATGGAATAATGTGTCCCTTAACAAGGGGGGGGGGGTCAAAATCAAAAGTAACAGTCAGTATTTGGTGTGGCCACCAGCTGCATTAAGTACTGCAGTGCATCTCCTCCTCATGGACTGCACCAGATTTGCCAGTTCTTGCTGTGAGATGTTACCGTACTCTTCCACCAAGGCACCTGCAAGTTCCCGGACATTTCTGGGGGGAATGGCCCTAGCCCTTACCCTCAGATCCAACAGGTCCCAGATGTGCTCAATGGGATTGAGATCCGGGCTCTTCGCTGGCCATGGCAGAACACTGACATTCCTGTCTTGCAGGAAATCACGCACAGAACGAGCAGTATGGCTGGTGGCCTGTGATCATTTTGGCCCCACGGGGTGAGTTCTTGCGTGGAGCCCCAGATCGAGGGAGATTATCAGTGGTCTTGTATGTCTTCCATTTCCTAATAATTGCTCCCACAGTTGATTTCTTCAAACCAAGCTGCTTACCTATTGCAGATTCAGTCTTCCCAGCCTGGTGCAGGTCTACAATTTTGTTTCTGGTGTCCTTTGACAGCTCTTTGGTCTTGGCCATAGTGGACTTTGGAGTGTGACTGTTTGAGGTTGTTGACAGGTGTCTTTTATACTGATAACAAGTTCAAACAGGTGCCATTAATACAGGTAACGAGTGGAGGACAGAGGAGCCTCTTAAAGAAGAAGTTACAGGTCTGTGAGAGCCAGAAATCTTGCTTGTTTGTAGGTGACCAAATACTTATTTTCCACCATAATTTGCAAATAAATTCATTAAAAATCCTACAATGTGATTTTCTGGATTTTTTTTCTCTCAATTTGTCTGTCATAGTTGACGTGTACCTATGATGAAAATTACAGGCCTCTCTCATCTTTTTAAGTGGGAGAACTTGCACAATTGGTGGCTGACTAAATGCTTTTTTCCCCCCACTGTACATACATCCAGTTGGAGTCGGATGTTTACATACACCTTAGCCAAATACATTTAAACTCAGTTTTTCACAATTCCTGACATTTAATCCTAGTAAAGATCAGTTAGGATCACCACTTTATTTTAAGAATGTGAAATGTCCGAATAATAGTAGAAATAATTATTTATTTCAGCTTTTATTTATTTCATCACATTCCAAGTGGGTCAGAAGTTTACATACACTCGATTAGTATTTGGTAGCATTGCCTTTAAATTGTTTAACTTGGGTCAAACGTTTCGGGTAGCATTCCACAAGCTTCCCACAATAAGTTGGGTGAATTTTGTCCCATTCCTCCTGACAGAGCTGGTGTAACTGAGTCAGGTTAGTAGGCCTAGTATGCTTGGGGTCATTGTCCATTTGGAAGACCCATTTGCGACCAAGCTTTAACTTCCTGACTGATGTCTTGAGATGTTGCTTTAATATATCCACATAATTTTCTTTCCTCATGATGCCATCTATTATGTGAAGTGCACCAGTCCCTCCTGCAGCAAAACACCCCCATAGCATGATGCTGCCACCCCTGTGCTTCACGGTTGGGATGGTGTTCTTCGGCTTGCAAGCAACACCCTTTTTACTCCAAACATAACAATGGTCATTATGGCCAAACAGTTATATTTTTGTTTCATCAGACCAGAGCACATTTCTCCAAAAAGTACAATCTTTGTCCCCATGTGCAGTTGCAAACCTTAGTCTGGCTTTTTTATGGCGGTTTTGCAGAAATTGATTCTTCCTTGCTGAGCGGCCTTTCAAGTTATGTCGATATAGGACTCGTTTTACTGTGGATATAGATACTTTTGTACCTGTTTCCTCCAGCATCTTCACAAGGTCCTTTGCTGTTGTTCTGGGATTGAGCGCCAAGTCTAGGTCCAAAAGGCTTCTCAACACCTTCTACCCCAAGCCATAAGACTCCTGAACAGCTAATCATGGCTACCCAGACTATTTGCACTGCCCCCCCCCCCACCCCCACCCCATCCCCCTCTTTTACGCTGCTGCTACTCTGTTTAGTATTTATGCATAGTCACGTTAACTCTACACACATGTACATATGACCTCAATTACCTCGACATGCCGGTGCCCCCGCACATTGACTCTGTACCGGTACCCCCCCTGTATAATGTATATAGCCTCCCTACTGCTATTTTATTTTACTGCTGCTCTTTAGCTATTTGCTTTTATTTTTAATTTTTTCTTAATTACATTTAAATTTAAATCATTTAGCAGACGCTTTATTTTACATTTTTCTTTAAAAAACTGCATTGTTGGTTAAGGGCTTGTAAGTAAGCATTTCACTGTAATTTCACAAATAACATTTGATTTGATTTGCACTTTTCGCACCAAAGTACGTTCATCTCTAGGAGACAGAACGCGTCTATGTCCTGAGCGGTATGATGGCTGCGTGGTCCCATGGTGTTTATACTTGCGTACTATTTTTTGTACAGATGAACGTGGTACCTTCAGGCATTTGGAAATTGTTCCCAAGGATGAACCAGACCTGTGGAGGGCTACCATTTTTTTTTTTCTGAGGTCTTGGCTGATTTATTTTGATTTTCCCATGATGTCAAGCAAAGAGGCAGAAGGTAGGCCTTGAAATACATCCACAGGTACACCTCCAATTGACTCAAATGATGTCAATTAGCCTATCAGAAGCTTCTAAAGCCATGACATCATTTTCTGGAATTTTCCAAAGTGTTTATAGGCACAGTCAACTTAGTGTATGTAAACTTCTGACCCACTGGAATTGTGATACAGTGAATTATAAGTGAAATAATCTGTCTGTAAACAATTGTTGGAAAAATTACTTGTGTCATGCACAAAGTAGATGTCCTAACCGACTTGCCAAAACTATAATTTGTTAACAAGAAATTTGTGGAGTGGTTGAAAAACGAGTTTTAATGACTCCAACCTAAGTGTACGTAAACTTCTGACTTCAACTGTATATATACATATCCTTTTAAAAATATATTTCCCTTTATTACTTTCCAACTCCACCACCCCTTCCCTAATTGAAATAAACTAGTCAACAACAACGCTTAGGCCTCTACTTCCAGTTTATACATACTATATACAAATACCTAGGTGTCTGGTTAGACTGTAAACTCTCCTTCCAGACTCACATTAAGCATCTCCAATCCAAAGTTAAATCTAGAATCGGATTCCTATTTCGCAACAAAGCCGCCTTCACTCATGCTGCCAAACAAACCCTCGTAAAACTGACTATCCTACCGATCCTTGACTTCGGCGATGTTATTTACAAAATGGCCTCCAACACTCTACTCAGCAAATTGGATGTAGTCTATCACAGTGCCATCCGTTTTGTCACCAAAGCCCCATATACTACCCACCACTGTGACCTGTACGCTCTTGTTGGCTGGTCCTCACTACATATTCGTCGCCAAAACCACTGGCTCCAGGCCATCTATAAATCACTGCTAAGCAAATCCCCTCCTTATCTTAGCTCATTGGTCACCATAGCAACACCCACCCGTAGTATGCGCTCCAGCAGGTATATCTCACTGGTCATCCCCAAAGCCAACACCTCCTTTGGCCGCCATTCCTTCCAGTTCTCTGCTGCCAATGACTGAAACGAACTGCAAAAATCTCTGAAGCTGGAGACTCTTATCTCCCTCACTAACTTTAAGCATCAGTTGTCAGAGTAGCTTACCGATCACTGCACCTGTACACAGCCCATCTGAAATTAGCCCACCCAACTACCTCATCCCCATATTGTTATTTATTTTGCTCATTTGCACCCCAGTATCTCTATTTGCACATCATCTCTTGCACATCTATCATTCCAGTGTTAATACTAATTGTAATTATTTTGCACACACTGTATATATATTTTAGGTTGTATTTTTGACTTTATGTTTTGTTTTACCCCATATGTAACTCTGTGTTGTTGTTTTTATCGCACTGCTTTGCTTTATCTTGGCCAGGTCGCAGTTGTAAATGAGAACGTGTTCTCAAATCAAATCAAATCAAATTGTATTGGCCACATAAAGGTGAAATAAAAATAAATAAATATACATTTTATGGACACAGTCAATTTTACAATAATTCTCTTTTGTTTGTTTTTACTCCTGAACTTCCTCTACCCTCAACCTCTCCGATCATTTTCATGATGTCCATCCGGTTTGCTTCTATATGCCATATCTTTCTAACTGTGCTCTTTCACAAAAGCTCTCAACCTATAACCTATATACTTATTATGGACACAGTATGCTTTACATTAGTTATCTTGTTGTTATTAGTTGTTGTTAGTTGGTATTAGTCCCATCCTTCAGCTCCATTCAACACCTCCAATCTATCTCTTAACACCATCCATATCGGATTTCTGTTTGCCATATATTTTTCAACTGTACTGTGATGTTTCACAAAAGTTCTGAACCCTTCTATTCTCATTGTTTCTACCGATTGTAAATTGAAAATAAACATTTTTGCTAAATGTTTTATTATATTATTGATCGATTGACTATGACTTTTCAGATCACCCAGTAATGCTATCTGCAGGGTTAGCTCCAGGTAAATATTGCAATCCTTCAGCCATTCCTGGACCTGTGACCAAAATCAAGCTACAAATGGAGAGTACCAAAACAAATTATCTAATGATTCTGTCTCTTTTGCAGTGCTTTAATTCAGACTGTGTCCCCAGAAAGCTGGTTTCAGTCTGATTTATTAAGCAAGGGTTAACCCTTGACTGCCAAGCCTTAGTGCAATTTCTGAATCTCGATGAGACACAAATGCAAAATAGTACGCGGTAAGCCATGATTAGCTTGTCAAGAGTCTTATGGCTTGGGAGTAGAAGCTGTTAAGAAGCCTTTTGGACTAGCCTAGCGCTCGTACGCTTGCCGTGGTACCACCCCGCAAAAAAGTGTAAGTGGTTACCCACTGCTATAGGGAATGCACAATTGTAGTCGATTGATAAGAGAATGACGTAAATGTGCCCTTGAAGATTAACCTATTGCTCCGTAAGTCTCTGGAGTCTGCTAATGACTAAATGTAATTTTTATGCTTGAGCTGGAGTCTTGACTTTTAGGGCCTTTTTAGGGCCTTCCTGGTACGGATATCTGTATATTTTCTTGTGTTAGATTCAATGTTGTTATGTTGTGGTTTATTTTTTAAACTGATGCAAACCAATATAGTAGACTGAACTTGAGATTTAACTCAATATGAGAAAAAATTGAATTGTCAGTTTACTTCCTGAATTGACTGAATTTAAATGGAATTGACCACAACCCTGCTTGAGTCTTTAGATGTGTAAATAAGCTCAATAGTTACAATTATTTATTTAAGCCTATTGAATAACAATCATTATTTTTGTTTCACTGGAGTTCTATGTAGCCTAAAACGTGTTCCAATGAAAAAGAGTGCAAATTCTGACAAGCCGTAAATCCAAAATGTCTGTGAAAAATGAGGTCCATCAATGATGTTGCAATAATGAATCATTTCTGGTCTTTATGTAATAACGTACAGAAAACACAATTTCCCACAACCCTTCCTATTTTACCCGCCCTATATTAAAATGAGAAAGTAGGTCTAGAAAGACAACTCGACATTTCATTGGTCGGTGAACCGGCATTGGGACACGCGACAACGAGCTCATTCTTTCTTGTGCGTTTCCAACATCGTCGCAGCCGCCGGTGAAGAGGAAAAAGACCGGTAAGAAAACGCTAGCATGATATTTAAACATATATAAACCACAACTAACATAGTCACAAATAGTTTTTTAAATCTTGTTGAATTCAGTAAAAAGCATCTGATAAATTGTTGGCAGGATATGTTAGTTTGGAATTGTTTGAGAACGTTAGCTAGCATACCGGTAAACTAGCTAGTTTCTAGCTACTACACAATGCAATGAAAAGAGGACCACGAGTTTCTCGGCATTAGCCGCCAGTTAGCTGACCGGCGTCCGTGACTCTAAAATCAGTTTGGGATTTCTATCCAGTGGGATTATTGGCATCTGACAAATCGAAATATAACAAAGCCCACACGGACTTCCTGGATTTGTGATAAGATTGCTTAGCTACTAGTTTGAGATTTGGAGGTAGTTTGGCTAGCCGGTTTGAGCTAACTTGGTAGGGCCTCAATATTTCAGTCACCAAAATACAATGGCCCAGCGCGCCAGTTTAACAGCTAGTTAGTTAACGTAAATTTGCAGTTGGCTAACTGATTAAATGTTGATAGCTAGCGAACGTTACGTACAGTTCTGAGCGAATATAACTTTAGCCAGGTAGCTAGCCATGGTAATTTAAATGTCAGGAAAGGAGTATGAGGACGATACGTGAGATTAGCCATAGGCCACCTGGCTAGCTACCCCAGTTATTCAGTGCCTACTGCTATGCTGGAAGATAACTCGGCTGGCCAGGTATAGGATGCTGGCAGCTGGCATTTATTAGTGTTGAGCAACAATGTTAGGCCCGGAATACACTGACGTATCGCCATAACACCAATGTAATGCGCAATATGATTAGTTAGCTAACTAGCGCTAGTTGCGAAATATGATTAGGTAACTGCGAATAAATTCTATCGTCGGTCTAACTTGAGCAATTCTCAATGGATCGTCTTCGATTGCGATTCGTATGAATGGCAACGGAGGACATGCAAGCCGTTCGACTAAAGCCAGATCAAGCAGAGCTTTAAGAGGGTTAAGTACATTTAATTGGTCATTTAGCTGGTCAGCAACATGTTTCACGATGACGATAACAAACCCGTTCCAACCAAATTGATATATTACTTCCATTTGTCTTGGTGTTGGGATACAGAATGACTCCCAACATTGGCTTGCTAGGCGTTTCCATTTTAGGCGCCGTGTCAAACAAAACGAAATGGCACGGGCCTTTTGACTTGAAGACTGCTTACCATATTAGCTTACTGACCCAGTTTTCCCTGCTTTGTCCCCCAGCTCTCTGTCTTCAGGTTTAATTTTGTCGAGGTCAACAGCAGCCATGCCTTCAGACCTGGCCAAGAAGAAGGCGCAGAAGAAGAAGGAAGCCGCCAAATCCCGGCAGAAGACAAAAAAAACAGAGGATGGAGAGGGAGAGAAACCAGAAGAAGGCCAGGAGAATGGAGGCATAAGCAACGGTAATAGTTGTCGATCATAGATCAACTAAAGAAGGGCTCAAGTCTAAATCCTCTTCACAGCTACTTAAAGTTTCAGAAATGTATTTGTATTCCGGGTGGTTGTTCTCTCATGTTAAACAGGGGTAGGCTGGTATGCAGATGTATGTAAGTGGAGATGGGTAACCCTTCATATGGAGAAATGACTGACTAATCAGCCCTCCATGTCACTGAGTTACAGGCGTGGAAAGCCTGACCAAGGAGATGGATGAATTTGAACTGAAGAAGACGGAGGCACGGGCGGTGACCGGCGTGCTGGCATCGCACCCCAACAGCACGGATGTGCACGTCACCAGCATGTCGCTCACCTTCCATGGGCAGGAGCTGCTGCAGGACACCAGCCTGGAGCTCAACTCGGGCCGCCGCTACGGCCTCATTGGCCTCAACGGCACTGGTAAGTGGTGACCATCACATGGGGCGTGTTCAGTAGGCACAAAGAGGAAGTAAGCGCTTTGAAGTTGTTTTGGGTAGGAATTTATCCATTAAGACCCTTTTACATTGGAAAACATTTTGCTGTCGTGTGCTCTAATGAACATGACCCAGTGCCCTTGGGAAACCTCTTTTTGCTACGTCATTGCTCATTTCAGTGTTAGTTACACCCATCCACATGGGACATCTTTCTGCCAACTCAGCCTTTATCTCCTCAGGACATAATATGCCCTAGTTTTCCCAGGTGTATGTATTAGCCCCGTATAACATTAATAACTGAACAGTAGCTGTAGACCCTCTATCTTCTGAGTAGAAGTTTATTTGAACTATCCCCACCTTATTTACAAATTTGAGCTCTACGGGGACTCTAAAATGACACATTTACAAATCTTTCTCTTTCCAGGTAAATCCATGTTGCTGGCAGCCATTGGCCACCGCGAGGTACCTATCCCAGAGCACATTGACATCTACCACCTAACCCGTGAGATGGCTCCCAGCGAGAAGACTGCACTGCAGTGTGTCATGGAGGTGGACGAGGAAAGGATACATCTGGAGAAGGAGGCAGAGCGCCTGGCATCCGAGGACTGTGAGTTGCTTCATAATGGTGGCTTGGTTGTAGTAGTTCTGTGAATTACCATGTTACCATGGGAACTGTGCTCACTGTGGCAGCTTCCCTTCCTAGGCGTGGTACACTACCTCCCATGTCCTGAATAGTCCTGCATAATGTGTTCCCTTCATGATGTAGCATCGGGACAAGGGCACAAAGGCTTAATTGGTGGGATAATATCCTTGATTCAGTTTTGCTCCAACCAGTTATAAGAGATACCATAGAGTAAAAGTTCCCATTCTCTCCACCCACCCCAACTCTTATCTTCTCTTCTTATCCTGCTCGTCTCCACTCTCCTCTACCCAAACGCTCATCTCCTTCTCTTTTTTCCTGCTCCCCCTCTTCCTCTCTCTCGCTCCCTTTTCTCTCCCCTAAAGCCGAGTGTGAGAAGCTGATGGAGCTGTACGAGCGTCTGGAGGAGTTGGACGCAGACAAGGCGGAGGTGCGGGCCTCCCAGATCCTCCACGGTCTTGGCTTCACCGCCCCCATGCAGCAGAAGAAGCTTAAGGACTTCAGCGGAGGCTGGAGGATGCGCGTCGCTCTGGCCAGGTACAAAACCCCTGTACAATACAAAGACAAACCTTTACCTACACTAATAAAGCGTCTCCGTGCATATTTGGGATCTGGGCCTGTGTTCATAAAGCTTCCAAGAGTAGGAGTGCTGATCTACGATCAGTTTTTAACTTTTGGATCATAATGAAGAGGATCACATGGACAGGTGTGACCGGATCCTAGATCAGCACCACTACTCTGAGAATACGGCCCCAGCTCCGCCCCATGCCCCTGTTCATTCATTATAACATAAAAAGCGAAACGGATCCTAGATCAGCACTCCTACTGTGAGACACTATATGAGTACAGGCCTTGAGCCCAGTCTTTTTCCTAGACTCTCTTAAGCCTCGCTTCAACTGTCTAAACCAGTCCAGAAAACTGTCAGTCTACATGAAGAGCCTTGGGATAGGGGCTGTGAGGGTTCTGTTTGGAATTGGCTAAATAACATCAAGCCACAAACACTTTTTTCTTTCCCACTTTATCTTTGACTGCCCTAACTTGACCAGTCGAATCCTAACAAAACATGGACACCAACTATATTCTACTGATGCACAGGTGTTTGGCTCAGAACTGTTTGGAAGTGATGTGAAAAAAGGCCGAATGATAACGCCGCCGCCAAGCAGTATGTTCTCAGTGCAGCGGCGCAGTGACAAAAATTGACCGAAGCGTTTATCTGATCCCTGCAGTTCTGTCCACTCTTGAGTTTCACTTTGCCCAAACGCCTTTAGTCATAACTATTTAAGAGGTTTTAGAGTAAAAAATATCTAAATCACAACCTCAATAAGACCTACCCGTAAATTGTGTTTTTCATTCGCACATGCCCTGTTTATTTTTTTTATTTTTGGGGGGGTGTGTGTGAATAAGCCTATTTTAGCACTGTTATTTTGAAGACCTACTAACCTGGGTTTGTGGGTTCCTTGTCTCCAGGGCCCTGTTCTTGAAGCCGTTCATGTTGCTGCTGGATGAGCCCACCAACCACCTGGACCTGGACGCCTGTGTGTGGCTGGAGGAAGAGCTTAGCCAGTAAGGCCATTTACACACAGGACATGACTTCTCTAGAAACAATTGTCTGTATCATTACTTTTTAATGTGAAAAGTCACCTTAGATTGGTTGAAGGCAGGTTTCTGCTATGACATGTAAGTGTTCTGGATTGATCGACAACTCGAGGTAAACTGGAAAATCGAAACACTACGTTTATATGATCTACTCCTCTTTAAGCCGCTATTACATGCTATTATTGCTGCTGTGACATGATGTAAACAAAAGGCCGAATTATAGTGCCCCTGCCAGGCAGTGTGTTCTCAGTGCGGGGGCACGTTGACAAAAACTAGACCGAAGCGTTTATCTGATCTAAGCAGCATGCCAAAAAGAGTAGAGCGGATGCCACAGGGTTTGTTAGTTCCAAGATAACATATTTGTTTTAGACATTGCACATGGAGTTTATTGTTCTGTGCTAACTAGCTATATACAGGTAACTGCCAAAATAAAGGAAACACTGACCGTGGCTTAATAGGGCGTTGGGCTACCACGAGCCAGAATATCTGGAACACTATTGGAGGGATTCTTCCACAAGAAATTCCATCATTTGGTGTTTTGTTGATGGTGGTGGAAAATGCTGTCTTACACTCCAGAATCTCCCGTTAGTGTTCAATTTGGTTGAGCTCTGGTGAGTGAGACAGCCATGGCATATGGTTTACATTGTTTTCATGCTCATCAAACCATTCGGTGACCACTCGTGCCCTGTGGGTGGGGGTATTGTTTCATGTCAAAATGAGGGGTGTTGTACAAAACTAAGTCATCAGCGAATGGATCATCTCTAACCAACCGGTGTCACAGCCAATGACACATTTTCTAAATGCAGCTTTACCCACGCATGTTCTGGCTCTGGCCCAACCCATCGCTTTCTGCGACCAATCGGAATAGGTAAGAATGTGTTTTGCGTTTTAGAAATTGTTGGGGGGGTACTCTGATCCCGACTCATTATGGAGAAGAAACGAATGTCTGTGGGCATAGCGTTTGGGTAGCCAGGCAAGGCATAGCCATGGGAGCCAAAAGAATGGCCTGCCCAGCATTTTTAGACATGACCCTAAGCATGATGGGATGTTAATTGCTTAATTAACTCTGGAACCACACCTGTTTGGAGGCACCTGCTTTCAATATCCCTCATTTACTCAAGTGTTTCCTTTATTTTGGCAGTTACCTGTACCTTTGACTATGTTCCCTGACATTGTACAAATAATCCCTATGGTTTGTGTAACTCAAGCATTGACATTGTTGCTATTTAGAAGTGTCCTAAGTTGCAACCTTTCTCTTATTCTACAGATTCAAACGTATTCTGGTCCTGATCTCCCATTCGCAAGATTTCCTCAACGGCGTGTGCACCAACATCATGCACTTACACGAGCGCAAGCTGAAATACTACACGGTAAGAGCAACTGCACTCCACCATGAGCCACCATGGACCAACAAGATGTTTGTGTGGTTTAGAATAATTCTCCAGGTCTGAGCAGTTGCTTTTCCTGTCTTCAGTTGATAAATAAACACTAGTTCATTAAACTTACTTAACCAAATGGACCCAGTTAAAGCTCAGACTTCAACCATTTACAGGGTTCGTACGGTCATGGGAAATACTGGAAAAGTCAAGGATTTTTTTTTAATGGTGTTTTCCAGGCCTGGATGAGTTTTGGAAAATGATCAAATCCGAGAAGTTTTGAAAAAGTCATGGACATTAATTTCTGTTTAATGTGATATTCAGGCAGTTAATATTATATCAATACAATTTTAAATCAACATTTCTGCCAGGACTTTTTGACGAAACAAACAATTCACTTTGCTATTGTGAACAGTAACTGTAGGAAAAAAGATCTGATGTAGCCTTTATTTTGGATTGTGTGGCTTCAAAACTTGTTGTAGATGCTTCCATTTGATTTGGGTATCCAATGTATGGGACATTGCAATTCGATAGATGCTATTTGGCCTGCAAAGTAAACACTTCTAAGTTAGGTAGCAAAGATACATGCCTATACTCGGAAAGGTACATTTCCTGAATTTGTGGGCTTGCTTCAGCTGAATAAAAAGGTTTGTAGCCTACCATAGCCATTTGATCTTTGATATATTGAATGAGCTAATTATTTCAAAAGGAACAAAATATATTTGGTTGCAATGTTACACATCAAGGGTGGTCAACCATCCTTCAGGAGAGCTTATTGGGTGTGCAGGCCTTTATTCCAGTCCCTCTATATAAATAATAATAATAATATGCCATTTAGCAGACGCTTCTATCCAAAGCGACCTACAGTCATATATCAAACCACATTTTAGAAATTTGCTCCTCAACCAAACCTTGATAAACTGGCTTTGTGATTTGAGCAGGGCTTGATCAAATTTGGTTAGATGTCATGGAAAAGTTATGAAATTCCACCTGTCAGAATGTTTATTGAACTCTGCACTTACTTGTTATAGTGTATTTTGCCTTGGTGAGTTACTATGATTTAAAAGCTTACTATTTTCAAGTCATAAAAACAAAGTAAAAAGAAAAAAGATGTGGGAGTACATCCCTTTAAGTGTAAAATGGTACACAATCATCTAAACTAATATTTGTTTACTTCCTTAAAGGGTAACTACGACCAGTACATTAAGACCAGGGAGGAGTTGGAAGAGAACCAGATGAAGAGGTTCAATTGGGAGCAGGACCAGATCAAACACATGAAGGTAAAATCCCCTTTCTCTCACGACACTTTCACATACACAAGTAGTTTGGCAATATGTATGTGAAATTCGGGCCAGTAATATGTGATACGTCAGCCATAGTGATGGGTTATTTTGGAACCACCAAGCTTGTGGCCGATGAGGAAGTGTTGGTAGTGAACTGCTTCACCAAACGTCAGTTTTGTAAACCCCCCCCCCCCCCTTCTCTCTTTTTCTTACTTTCTTTTATTTACTACCCCACCAGAACTACATAGCCCGGTTTGGGCACGGTTCAGCCAAGCTGGCCCGCCAAGCCCAGAGTAAAGAGAAGACGCTGCAGAAGATGGTGGCCTCGGGCCTGACTGAGAGTGTTAAGAATGACCAAGTAAGTCTATTTAGTGACTTTGACAGGGGTGATGGTGCTTCCCATGGGGTCAGACAGGTGCTCTTTTAGGTATAACAAGTTTGTAGTTTTGGCTACAGCCCAGAGTTTTTCCCATGGGCGGGCTAGTCACATGATCAGGAAAATCTCTTGACCCTAGTTATAGTGGATGTTACTGCAGGCAGGTGACCAGAGTTTGGGTGTACTCTATTTATGAAGTCGCAGATTATAGTCAGATTTGATACAATTTTTTTTGCAAGTGACATTTTGATGTTCCTTTCCTACTGTGGTTTTTTTGTTGGTTTGCTGCTGTGACATGATGTAAACAAAAGGCCGAATTATAGTGCCCCTGCCAGGCAGTGTGTTCTCAGTGCGGGGGCACGTTGACAAAAACTAGACCGAAGCGTTTATCTGATCTAAGCAGCATGCCAAAAAGAGTGTAGCGCAGACGCCACAGGGTTTGTCAGTTCCAGGATAACAGATTTGTTTTATATAATTGCCAAAAGAGAATCCATAATCTCATAGCTTCCTTCAGGGTGTCACAAGGCAGGAATCAAAGAATAACACCTGCAAACCATCCTGAACTCATAACTCATTATTCTTTTCCTTTTTTAGACCCTGTCATTTTGTTTTCCTCCCTGTGGGAAGATTCCCCCTCCTGTCATCATGGTCCAGAATGTCAGCTTCAAGTACTCTGATGACCAGGTAGGTGGTTGTTGAACCTTCTCTCACTTCTGCCTAACGAATGTTTTGCTCAATTTGTTTTATTTTGTAACTGTTCCTAAAATGAAATACTAAAGAGATTCCAGCTCCAAACTACACTGTATCATGTTTTTCGCAATATTGTCTTACATTTTTCCCTTGTTTGATGTTTCAGCCCCATATATACAAGAACCTTGAGTTCGGTATCGACCTCGACACCAGAGTGGCCCTTGTGGGGCCCAACGGTGCCGGGAAGTCCACCCTGCTTAAACTCCTCATGGGAGAGGTGAGTCTTGATATTGTTATGACTATACCGTATATGGTCATTTAGCAGACTTGAATTGTTGTCCTGTTATTCGGCCATGCCATGACGCTTTACCATAAAAAGTGGTACCATTTTTACTAATAAGTGAGGATGGTCAATAAGTAGAAATGTAAGCTGTTTATTTCCTGTTCAGTTGCCTATGCATTTCTCTGAACAGATATCCCACAACTGCCTTCTCTCCATCCCTACCAATGTCTCCTCATTGTCTTTGTCCTCAGCTCCTCCCCACTGACGGTATGATCCGCAAGAACTCCCACGTCAAGATTGGAAGATATCACCAGGTACCATACCATTTTAAAGTGCACTGGTACCCTAAACTGTCTTAAATCATTTAAGTGCGTATGCTCCTACAATGCCAAAATTGGAGTAGTCTGCAAATGTAAGAAAAAATAATGCAGTTCCACTGACTAATTTTGTGCTTGGTTGTGAAGTGGATTACTTTGTATTTGATTGAAGACATTTTTACAAATCTCCATGATTCACATGGCTGAACCTACTCTTTATTTCCTCTCCAGCATCTAACAGAGCAGCTGGAACTCGACCTCTCTCCCCTAGATTACATGATGAAGTGTTACCCAGAGATCAAGGAGAGGGAGGAGATGAGGAAGATCATTGGCCGCTATGGGCTGACGGGCAAACAGCAGGTCAGTTTGATCGTTAGTGATCAATTGTGATCCTCAAATATTGTCATGTCTGAATTGCAGACCTGCATTCAGATAACGTTTTGCTTTCAAATCTTTGTAATGTTTGATTGAGCGTGTCTGGTGTGCCAGGGGAGCGGGGTTTGTACTTTTGGGACTATTCCATCAGTTCCATTTGTACCACGCAAGCTCCAAGGTCAGCTTAAGTATGGAGAAAAAAATAACTATTTGAACCCAGGTCTGCAGGGTTGTAGTCAATTGAAATTCAAACCAAGTCTGTAATTGAATTAAAACCCTATATATGAATTGGGGGAACTGTCTTGTGACAATTTTCTGTTTTCCCCCAGGTGAACCCCATCAGAAACCTGTCCGACGGGCAGAAGTGCCGGGTGTGCTTTGCCTGGCTGGCCGGGCAGAACGCCCACATGCTCTTCCTGGACGAGCCCACCAATCACTTGGACATAGAGACCATCGATGCCCTGGCCGACGCCATCAACGAGTATGAGGGTGGCATGATGCTGGTTAGCCACGACTTCAGGCTCATCCAGCAGGTGCGGATTGACGAATTGGAACCTGATTTTTGTTTGAAAGGGTTGTTTTTAAAATGGAAAACGATTACCTCCAACCCTATTGAGGGCAATATGTTGGTGGACCACCGCCACACTTTCTGAACATACTCGACCATGCCAATGGCACACCGGTGCTGAGCCGTTACACTCAACTAGTATACAGTAGCGGAGTCAACATTTTGAATGAGCTTATCAGAAATGGCTCTAGTTTATTTGTTGGAAGAACTGTGATTGATGCACTTGTATGTGCTTGTCCTGTTTTTGGGTCACTATTTAACCCCTTTTCTCCTTTGTTCTCCATAGGTGGCCCAGGAGATCTGGGTGTGCGAAAAGCAAACCATCACCAAATGGAACCGGGATATCTTGGCTTACAAAGACCATCTGAAAAAGAAGATTGACAAAAATTCTCATGGTGTATAAAAAATAAATAAACTACCTCCCCAGATTCAAGACTGCACTGTCCCAAGACTGTGGACTCCCATTTTCCCATTCCCGCTTCACTTGGCTATATAACTCAAGAAGCATGTTATTTGAAGGTGCCCAATTCCTTCCTGCTTTTAAAGCCTCTTTATAGGCTGCTGGAAGGTTGTGGTGCAACCTAGTTGCCTTCCATTGCTACCCTCTTCACAGGCATACATATGGTATCTTGATTTCTCAATTAAATTAAATAATTTATCCATCAATGTGTTAGAGAACACGTGCATTTTTCCACAGTTCAGATATAGTAGGATGTAAGCCGCCTGTACCAATTTATTTCATTTTCCTCTAAAATAGCTTTTTATTATTTTGTCATTATTTAACTGTACCTGCAATAATGGGATTGTATGAATAAAGGAGCAAAGTAACTGACTTGGTTTGATTTTAGTGACATATGATAACTTTGACTCATCAGTTCATGGACAAAGTGCTTTAGCATACAAAGCTTTGTCCTGTTTAATATCTTACACTTTTGATGTCATGGTGTATAGGTGCTCTTATTTTGAAGGCAGAAACCGGACGTTATTTATACGCTTGTTAGCGTTTGGGTCATCATTGAGGGATTGACAACCGTAGCAGGTAAAAATAATTGTTTCATTGGCATTTAGGTAGCGTACGACAATTTAAAATAATTGGATATCTGCAGTCCAGCGATGTCAAAATAGCCGTAAACTACCGTTATAGCTAGTTCAAAGTTAAGTTAACGAGATGGAACATTTTGGTAGCTCTTCCTTAGCAACGATAGCAAATGGTATCATTTTGGTGTAGTTATGCGAACTAGCTAGCTAATTACTCTATAGAGATTAATATGCATAGGCTAATAGATAGCTAGTAGTGTTGGAAGCTACTGTACTCTGGGGGGAAAAAAATGTCTACCAAGGTACTGTACCAACAATTCACACTGGAAGACATTTACCTACATAACGTTAGTTTTATTTAACTAAAGTTATTTTGAAAAGGTAGTTCACTACATCCAAACTGCTTCGTCAAAAATTATGTAAATCTGAACTGTCAGACGGATCACTTACACTGCCCGGTGTAGCTCAGTTGGTAGAGCATGGCGCTTGGAACGCCAGGGTTGTGGGTTCGTTTCCCACGGGGGGCCAGTATGAAAATGTATGCACTCACTAACTAAATCGCTCTGGATAAGAGCGTCTGCTAAATGACTAAAATGTTAGCTAGCGTACGACAAAGTTTGGGTAGGGACGTCAAAAGTTCAGCCTGCTGCACAGACCCTATGGATGCAGTCTAAAGCTCCTAGTTAAATTGTGTTTAGGAGCATTTTTTTATATCTCAATGTTTAAAATAGTGAGCAATGTCTGTTTATTAAAGAAACTTTTCATTTCCTATGATCCTAAATTAAGATATTGAGTTACTCTGCCATATTTTTTTTACATTCTAATGTATATTACGCTACTTTCAATGTGTGGACACTGACAGTATACTAATTACACTTTTTTTTTTACCTCAGACTGGTGATGTTGGTATAGAAGTTTATAGACGACACAATATCAATTGCTTAAAACGGATGAATATCTTTGTTTTTTTTAACTGTTTTTGTCATACCCGCTGGGGGTTGCAGGATTTAGAATGAACCTATCATTTTCTTTCACAAATGGCACGGATGATTCGGGGCGGTCTCTAAATCCGCTGGCCACACACCAATACACTGATTTGACAGTCAAACTATCACTTAAATAGTAGCCAACCGTTACTGCTGATATAGTATATAATGAACAAAAATATAAACGCAACAATTAACGATTTTACTGAGGTATAGTTACATTTACATTTTAGTCATTTAGCAGACGCTCTTATCCAGAGCGACTTACAGTTAGATCATATAAGGAAATCAGATAATCTGATCTGATAACAGATGCCATACAAAAAAAATGGGCCTCACAATGGGCCTCAGGATCTTGTCACAGTATCTCTGTGCATTCAAATTGCCATTAATAAAATGCAATCGTTGTCCGTAGTTTATGCCTGCCCATACCATAACCCCACCGCCACCATGGGGTTTACAATTCACAACGCCATCAGCAAACCGCTCGCCCACACGCCGCCATACATGTGGTCTGTGGTTGTGAGGCCGGTTGGACGTACTGCCAAATTCTCTAAAATGACATTGAAGGTGGCTTATTGTAGAGAAATTAACATAACATTCTCTGTCAACAGCTCTGGTGGACATTCCTGCAGTCAGCATGCCAGTTCCACACTCCCTCAAAACATGAGACATTTTTAATCAGCTTCTTGATATGCCACACCTGTCAGGTGGATGGATTATCTTGGCAAAGGAGAAATGCTCACTAACAGGGATGTAAACACATTTGTGCACAACATTTGAGATTGAAATAAGCTTTTTGTGCGTATGGAACATTTCTGTATTATTTTTTTAGCTCATGAAACATAGTGTTAGTTTAAACAGCGCTACACCTTAAACGTTTGCCCCTGGTTCTATTGATTTCAGCATGATATCGAAGTGATTAACAAAAAAAAAGTGTTGCGGTACACTTACCACGTTGGCTACCCACTTAAATCAAAATGCAACACTTTAAAATGTTGCTAGTTGTCTTCTACAAATTGTCCTCTGACCAGTGATGTACACATTATTCCCAGATTCCGTGTGGTTTTTGAGCTGTGTTAGTTTTAACAGGACATGCAACCTCATCTCCCCCTCTCACACAATTGATTTCAAGTTGATAATCAATGAGTGATTGACAAAACAGTGTTGCGTTTCTTTATCAGTTTTGGTGACCACCGTATTTTACATTTACATTTTAGTCATTTAGCAGACGCTCTTATCCAGAGCGACTTACAGTTAGTGAGTGCATACATTATTTTATTTTTTATTTCAGGTAAAATAACAACCCAATGTTTATATCCCTGGACAAATGAGCTAGCAACAGCAAGCTAGCTAGCTAGCTAAATTGCCATAAATGTTTAATGCTTTTTGACCTGTCCCCAAATTAATATAGTTTGTTCAGAGTTCGTTTTGATATTTCAACCTGCGTGTCCTGATCGCATCTGGCGCACACGGACACACAAATAATAATAGTAATAATTTATTCAACTTCTATAGCACTTTTCATTACAAAAATAATCTCAGAAGCGCTTGAAAAACAAACAAGAATAAAATAAAACTCCATGATAAAAGAGTGACACTGAGACTCAGATTCCCCTCCTCAAAATGTATGTCAAACAAAAACCAATGATTGCAAAGTTGAACAAACCACACAAATCTATGCACTACTTTTAAAATGCAACATTAAAATGCAACATTCCAAAATGTACACAATACAGTGGGGGAAAAAAGTATTTAGTCAGCCACCAATTGTGCAAGTTCTCCCACTTAAAAAGATGAGAGAGGCCTGTAATTTTCATCATAGGTACACGTCAACTATGACAGACAAAATTAGAAGAAAAGAAATCCAGAAAATCACATTGTAGGATTTTTTATGAATTTATTTGCAAATTTTTGTGGAAAATAAGTATTTGGTCAATAACAAAAGTTTCTCAATACTTTGTTATATACCCTTTGTTGGCAATGACACAGGTCAAACGTTTTCTGTAAGTCTTCACAAGGTTTTCACACACTGTTGCTGGTATTTTGGCCCATTCCTCCATGCAGATCTCCTCTAGAGCAGTGATGTTTTGAGGCTGTCGCTGGGCAACACGGACTTTCAACTCCCTCCAAAGATTTTCTATGGGGTTGAGATCTGGAGACTGGCTAGGCCACTCCAGGACCTTGAAATGCTTCTTACGAAGCCACTCCTTCGTTGCCCGGGCGGTGTGTTTGGGATCATTGTCATGCTGAAAGACCCAGCCACGTTTCATCTTCAATGCCCTTGCTGATGGAAGGAGGTTTTCACTCAAAATCTCACAATACATGGCCCCATTCATTCTTTCCTTTACACAGATCAGTCGTCCTGGTCCCTTTGCAGAAAAACAGCCCCAAAGCATGATGTTTCCACCCCCATGCTTCACAGTAGGTATGGTGTTCTTTGGATGCAACTCAGCATTCTTTGTCCTCCAAACACAAAAAGTTATATTTTGGTTTCATCTGACCATATGACATTCTCCCAATCCTCTTCTGGATCATCCAAATGCACTCTAGCAAACCTCAGACGGGCCTGGACATGTACTGGCTTAAGCAGGGGGACACGTCTGGCACTGCAGGATTTGAGTCCCTGGCGGCGTAGTGTGTTACTGATGGTAGGCTTTGTTACTTTGGTCCCAGTTCTCTGCAGGTCATTCACTAGGTCCCCCCGTGTGGTTCTGGGATTTTTGCTCACCGTTCTTGTGATCATTTTGACCCCACGGGGTGAGATCTTGCGTGGAGCCCCAGATCGAGGGAGATTATCAGTGGTCTTGTATGTCTTCCATTTCCTAATAATTGCTCCCACAGTTGATTTCTTCAAACCAAGCTGCTTACCTATTGCAGATTCAGTCTTCCCAGCCTGGTGCAGGTCTACAATTTTGTTTCTGGTGTCTCTTTGGTTTTGGCCATAGTGGAGTTTGGAGTGTGACTGTTTGAGGTTGTGGACAGGTGTCTTTTATACTGATAACAAGTTCAAACAGGTGCCATTAATACAGGTAATGAGTGGAGGACAGAGGAGCCTCTTAAAGAAGAAGTTACAGGTCTGTGAGAGCCAGAAATCTTGCTTGTTTGTAGGTGACCAAATACTTATTTTCCACCATAATTTGCAAATAAATTCATGAAAAATCCTACAATGTGATTTTCTGGATTTTATTTTCTCAATTTGTCTGTCATAGTTGACGTGTACCTATGATGAAAATTACAGGCCTCTCTCATCTTTTTAAGTGGGAGAACTTGCACAATTGGTGGCTGACTAAATACTTTTTTCCCCCCACTGTATATGCAAAAGTATGTGGACACCCCTTCAAATTAGTGGATTCAGCTATTTCAGCCACACCCGTTGCTGACAGTTGTATAAAATAGAGCACACAGCCATGCAATCTCCATTGACAAACATTGGCAATAGAATGGCCTTACTGAAGAGCTCAGTAACTCTCAAAGTGGCACCGTCATAGGATGCCACCTTTCCTACAAGGCAGTTAGTCAGAATTCTACCCTGCTAGAGCTGCCTCGGTCTACTGTAATTGCTATTATTTTGATGTTGAAACGTCTAGGAGCAACAACGGTGCTGAAGCGTGTAATGCATTAAAATCGTCTATCCTCGGTTGCAACACTCACTACCGAGTTCCAAACTGCCTCTGGAAGCAACATCAGCACAATAACTGTTTGTCGGGAGCTTCATGAAATGAGTTTCCATGGCCGAGCAGCCGCACACAAGCCTAAGTTCACCATGCTCAATGCCACACATCGGCTGGAGTGGTGTAAAGCTTGC